TCATTTTTATCTGGTCAATGTTATTCATTTGATTATATTTTACGAATGTTTGTTTCTATAGATCAATGGTTAAATGCATGTATAGCTATAGAACGAACAACTGCTGTAATAAAAGGTGTAAGTTTTGATAAGAATAAAAGTAAAAAAACAGCAAAATTAATGATGGCTATTCTCTTTATTACTGTTGCTGTTAGTTATGTACATGATCCTATTCATCGATATATCATTGATGAAGTCAATCAGGATGATAGTCGTCAAAATAGAATATGGTGTATTATGAAAGATTCACTTAGTTTAAAAATTTATAATTCATTTATTCATACATTTCATTTTATTAGCCCATTTATAATTAATTTAATATCAACTATAGTTCTTATAGTAGTGAAAACTCGTCAACAAGCAAATCTTCATAAGAAACAAACATATAAACAAACTTTATATAAAACAATTAAAGAACATAAAAATTTGTTAACTGCTCCAATTGTTTTAGTTATTCTTGGTGTACCACGTATAATTCTTACATTTATATCAAACTGTATGAAATCGCCAAGCGATGGATGGCTACTTCTTCTTGGATATTTTATTTCATTTATTCCACCAATGTTAATCTTTCTAATATATATTCTACCTTCGACAGTTTATAGAAACACATTTCACAATACGGTTAAACAGTATACAACTAATATTTTACGATGGTTCGGTCTCATACAATAAAAGTATCAAACTAATAAACTTAAGTGTAATATCATCAGAATGTATTTTTAATCAATAAACATTCTATGAAAACTTGAAAGTTGTTGTATGCAGTTATTTTTTTGTTCAATGCTTATTTTTCTTTCTTCTTAATGTTGTATTGTGACTATTATCAATAAAAAAAGGTGTTAACACAATTTCTGCAGAATTAAAATGTGAAATATGGCATAAATGTTGGTAGCAAACATCAGATTTATGTAACTAACTCATCTGAACTAGCATAATATATGTTAAGGGGAATATGTCAAAAAATTCCGAAAAAAATAAATTCCGAAAATAGAAGTTCGCAAAAGACATAAATCATCTTGAAAGATGGGCGTGGGTGCAGATGTGGATGTTGGTATGGATATGGATGTGGCTCGATGACAGATTAACAAAACACGCACATCTATGCTCTTACCCACACCCATGTCCTTATTCACATCCACACCCCAGCCCTCTCATACTCACTCACAAAATATTACCGTGCTGCTTTTTTTGTCAATGAATCCTTTTATGACAATTTATTTTTTTTGCTTTTCATTTCAAACGCATATAGAAATTTCGGTATTGAAATGCTATTTTTTATCATAAGCAGATCTTTATAATCATATCATCATTTCCAAGATTATCATTACATTCTTTGTATATCTAACAACTGTTTTATTTGAATTTTTTGAAATTTCTAATAAAAGTTCAACATCTTGTTAATAGAATCCTTTTTTGCATTGATATCCTAAATTAAAGATGCTTTACTTATGGCATTGTGCAGATAACTCAAAACTTTCACTCGGTGTATATTATGAATACTTTATATTTATTCGTTTATCATTAAGATTGGAATATCGTTCAAGCATTTATAAACCTTTTTAAAATTATAATGTAAAAAAGTCATAATTATTATGCACTTAGTAGAGATCATTCATCAAATTAAGTTGTTCTCTCAATATCATTTATTATATGAAGGTAGCACAAAAATCAGGAAAAATAAATCTCAGATAAATTATCTGAGATAATGGACAGCGTTTTTTTTTATTCTTTAATGGAAATTTCCGTTGCACAACAAGAATATACAAAATACTCCCATCTGCTATTTTTATTCAAGAATCTAGTTCCATTTATGAACATGCAGAAGAAGCCAAATTATTTTTTGAAGAAAAAATGACAGATGGAAACACATTCATTTGCACAGTTCATAAAAAAATAACAGAAACACTTTTTTTTCTTAGTAATAACATGTTTCATGAGAAATATAATTTTAAATAAAATAATTTTCTTTCTATGACGATTTCTCACAAATCTTTTCTTCTACAATTATCAATTTACTATTGTTTTTTAGTTATCAAATCATTCGAAAAATGGCCAAGTTGGATGATATATCAAAAATTGAAATTGCTAATGAAGTATGAAAAAGATATGTTCGAGTAATTCAATAACAAACAGTCTTTCTTAGGTTCACTCACCAGCTCCTGTTCAAAATATAAACAAAAATGCAGTTAATGAATGGAAAATCTCGTATGTAAACTTGATCTTTTAATCAATGATGAAATATATTGATTCATTTTAGATGTGAACATATTCGTTATGGCAGATGTATCTTGGTTTTAGTCTGTATCATTTTAATTACGATAATTATTACTGTTCCAACGGTTCTCATACACAAGAAAAAGATGAAGACCAATAACATAATAGCAACAACAACGACCACAGGAACAATATCAACAACAACAACGACAACGACAACGACAACGACAACGACAACGACAACAACAACAACAACAACGATAGCAACAAAAACAGGAACACCAGTGACAGCAAGAGTAGCAACAACATCCAAAGGTATAGTTTAATGAACGGGTGATAAGAAAAGCATCAGTTATAACAAGTCATAAATAATAGATCTATTAGAACTAATTAAATATAGAATAAGATGAGTTTTATTAACATCATAATTGTTTTTATATGATGACAGTTTACTTTTGCTTCATTATAGCTCCATTATATAACGTAATTACCAATAAAACAAAATGGACACAGAATGGAATAACTATTTTTCATCAATTCGATTTTGGTGATTTTGCCAGTAATTCAAATTCTATGTATATTGATGATGATGATGATGTTATCTATATTCTTGAAGTACACACAGGTCGCATTATACAATTGAAATTAAATCAAACGAATCTTCCAATTGTTATTGGTGAAAATGCGACACACGAATTATGGCGTCCAACTGATATTATTTTTGATAAAAAAACGGATTCAATGATTGTTTGTGATGATGGAAATTGGCGCGTAGTTCGATGGTCTCGCCACAATACAGCAGATATAGACATAATCATTCCGAAAGTCATGTGTCGTGGTGTAGTAATGGATGATAAAGGATATCTCTATGTTAGTGATTGGAACGAACATGAAGTCAGACAATGGGAAATTGGAGCTAATAACAGAAGCACACGCGTTGCAGGTGGAAACAAAGCAGGAAATCATTCCGGACAACTTAACATGCCAATGTTTCTATTTGTCGACATGAATTATTCAGTATATGTTGTAGATCAAAATAATCATCGTGTAATGAAATGGATGAAAAACGCAACAACAGGAATTATTGTCGCTGGTGGAAACGGTGCTGGAGCTAATCTAACACAACTGTCTGGACCTACAGGTGTAGTTGTCGATCATTTAGGTAATGTTTATGTAACCGACACAGGGAATCATCGTGTGATTCGTTGGATCAATGGTGCTAAAGAAGGTAGTATTGTTGTTGGTGGAAATGGTGAAGGAAATGAAACAAATCAACTGTTTTATCCTAGTGATTTATTATTTGATAAACACGGTAATCTTTATGTCTTTGATTCATACAATTATCGATTACAGAAATTCGAAATTGAATCAAATTGAAATTTTTTTGTACTTATTGTAAAATAAATGTTGTCAGGTAGAATCTTTACTATAATTCTTTTTCTTTTTAATATATTACATTATTATTTTCGAAGGATTAATTTTTCATCCAACCTTGCTTTGTTCAACCGAATATTTATTTAAAAACCAGATTAACGCCGAAGTCTTTTAAACAAATGCTTTGTACAACAATGAAATTACTCATGTCGATAAAAACCAAAATTATGTTGTAAAATTTTATGTTGTGTGCTGCTTAAAGAGTGTCTCTTTATAATTAATAAAAATTTGTAACTCATATTTTTTCATACTTATATTCGATCTAGAGTATTGAACTTTTAATCTTATATGTTGGTGTGGGTAAGACAAGAATGAATTAAACTCTCATTTACCCTCACTCACTTTCATAAATAATTTCGCTATATCGTATAATATACAAAAGTTTAATTAGTAGCATAATATCCATACATGTGAAACTCGAAGAGTTGCTTCGAATATTCGAAATATTTCTATTCTTCTTCTTCTTCTTTGTTTGTGTTGATCAACACCAAAAGTAACTATTCTGGATGAATTATTTTATCAGAATTTAGAAAATTGTTACTTAAACTTAAGTAACACATTTTTTCAAAACTCAAACTATAATTGTTTACAAAGATTTTAACGATAGTAGCAAAAAAATATATAATAATTGTAATATTATTTTTCTTTATTCAGAATATCGATGAAATATTATACTTTTCAATAGAATTTTCATTTTATGGGCAAGGTTGACTACAATCAACATTTTTTGGTAAATCAAAAAGACTTGGATTTTGTGGTTCAACTTGCCAAACATCATAGTCCGTGAATTGACGTGGTGTTTTAAAATTTGGTCCTGACTAACGAACACCATTAAATGGCTCATTAACTTCACTCCAATATTCATGTTCATGAGAATACCAATGATCAACAGTTTTACCATGTATTTGTTCTATTCCAAGCCATGTTGCACCTTTAAGCCAACCAATAGGTACACCATAATTTCCTGGCATTGCTAAACAACAAAGATTATTAGCAACAACATAGACATTATCGGTAATTAATATGGTGCAACTTGGTTGATTTACAGCCCAACCGTAACAATAACCAAAATGATCATGTCGTTCTTGTCCATGTAAACGTCCACTAGACGTTTTATTTGTATAAGAATAATAAAATACACTTCGATGAGTATGCGGTTGATTCTCTTCATCAAAAGCAGTTATAGTTGCTTCTGTTCTAAAGATAAAAAGGGTTAACTCTTTCGATAGCTTATTATTCAAGAAGATAGTTTTACTTGAAACCAGTAGGCCATAGTGGATATTGTGGAGGTGTCGCACGTGCACAGGCTATAGATGCTGTGATAGCGAAAAGAGCGATAAGTACTAACATATTCTGTTTTTATAATGTGTTACTTTTTTTATAAAATCATATATATATATATATATTCAGACAAAAAGTATGACGAAGTATTTTTTTTATTTTGTTTTGTCATACTAGTATCCTTTTTCTGCGAGAATTGACTCGTGTTTTGTATCTCTTGATATTGGATTTTTATATGTAAGTAGACACTAAGACCAGTTCATTTTGTACTATTAGAGATTGCAATAGAAAAAAAGCACTGTCACCATTTTTCTATATATAAGTTTTGGTCCGAAAAGATTAACAAATAATAAAATAATGATATCTAATCTATCGTTTTGACTTAGTACGAAAGATAGAAAAAAAAGGTGATAGAATAACACATTATAACAATACGCATGTACCAATTACCTATTGCGATGTACCATAAATCAATGATTTTTTGTCAAGTTTTTTTATGAAACCTGAAATTAATTTAAAAATTATGAAGGATGAGATTAAATTGAAGAAAAAGACTTGTGTATGTGCAAGAAATATATATATAAATAAGTTTTTAATAAATAGAGAAAAATATTTTTGAAGATATATTCAGTGATTTATCTAGAAGGAGGACAGTGATGGCGGCGCCCTCCCGGAGACCGATTTTGCTCTTCCGAACATTGCAATTTTTGTACTTATACTACGTATTTTTCCTCCAGAAATTAGATTTTCGCCTCCTGAAAATCGCTATCGCACTCTTGAAAGGAAAAAGCTAGATAAAACACTGGATATATTCATACGTAATGCGTTACTATGTTTAGCATAATTATTCAGTACGTTTTGCAAGCTAGATGTCAGTAGATATTCAGTCAATCACGTTCGAATAGTATGATTGGAGTATCGAAGTCCTTCAATACTTGTTGTTTGATTCGTACTGTGTGTTATGTTTTAGTTTTTCAAACGCATATGATTTAAATGTAATTCACATAAAATTACTAAAATTAATTATCATTTCTTTTAGAATTAATATAGAACAATGGCAAAAGCATTACGATTTGCATCAGCTGTTAAAGAATTACGTTTGCATTTATGTCAAAAATCATCAACAAGTGAAGGTGTACGACAATTTATTGATAAATTTTATGTTAATATTAAGAAACAAAATCCAACAACGCCTATACTTATTCGTGAATGTTCAAATATAACTCCAACATTATGGACAAGATATGAATATGGTATTGAAAAACAAATTCCATTAACAGGCATGAATGCTGATCAAGTACTTAATGCTGTAGAAAAATTAACCAGTAAAGCGACTTAATCTAATTCGTTTGTGTGTTACACCCGATTGTCATTTCATTTTGATTATATTATTTTAGACCTGTCTAATTCCCTGGTATTTTGATGAAATAAAATAAAGATATTTCTTTCATTTTTAACTAGATGAAAAATAAATCATAGATTTATTTTGAATATTGAACTTTGATTACTAATCTTTCATATTATGTTTACTCTTTGGTATTGCTCAAGATCTTGTTGGATTAAAGTTGTGCTGACGTGAATAACATAAAGATTGATTATGAGATCTATCGCCAAAATTAAGGACTTTTTATCGAAAAGTCTTGATTCTGACAAAATAAGCATTTCTGACTGGCGATATAATCGTCAATACTTTGAAAAATCGCGATTCATTGCTCAAACCTTGGCGATTTTGAAGACATGGATTAATATAGCAGCATTTTTAATACTCTTTAATTAGGCTTTTTTCTTTGTCTGTTTACATCACACACACATAAAAAGTTGTCATGATTATTTTCTTATGTTTTTTGGTAGTTAATAAGATCAGAAAAAAGAAAACTTTGTTTTTAGTTCATGATTGAATGTGAACAAGAATTAACATGATAAAGACAACAAACATTCGAAAAAAAAAGAAGAAAATCTAAGAAAGTTTCTTTGTTTTACTAAAAAGAGTATCAACCACTTTCGACATATTTTGAACAATAACAAGTGCATCTTGATATTGAGTATCCGTTTGTGGTTCATCGAAAATCACAATATTTGCAGAACCTTGATCAAGAATACCACTAAGTTTTTTATCTAAGATCATTTGAGAAAGTTTCTTTTCGACAACATCCTAAAAACAAATTTATTTATCTTAAGATATTTAATAAGAGAACATACTTGAGGTAAATCAATTAAACGTGCAATATGATCAATTTGAACATTAGAAAATGGTTCAAGAAGACGACTAAGATTCTGTTCAAGTAAATTATCATATAAAGTACCTAAATGTGAATGAATCACTGGATCATCAGATAATTCGGTTTTATAATCTTTTAATGCCTAAATATGAAATTTATTTATATTAGATTTTTTTTGAGAAAGTTCAATTCAAAAACAAATACCTGTTGAAAATCAGCTAATGATCGTTTTTTACTTGCTTGTGCAACAGCTTTCATAGCTTCAACATCACGACCACTATATTTCAATGCTAATTTGACAGACATCAATGAATTAACATCATCAGGTCTATTATTGTGATTATACAAAATTTCGAATAAAATAAATCAATATAACTTACAGATTCATCATCACTTTTGATAATAACATATATTTAAGTGCAGTTACACCTTTCTTATTATTGATTTGATCATAACCTTCAAAAGCTTCATAAAAATATGAAAATGCTGTTTTAAAATCTTTATCTTCAGCACCATGAAGAATTCCTGAAAATAATCGAAAGTTAATAATTATATTAACAAAAAATTAACCTGATTGTAAATCAAGACTAGCTTGAAGTTTGGGTGGTGTATAAATTCCATTGGCGGTTGTTCGAGCTGATGTTAATGCAGCTCTATTTAATAAAAACTATATAATTCGATCAAAATCTTAATTAAATCTCTTACCTTGCTTTTTGTATATTACTTAAAGCAAAATAAGTTTTACTTTCTAATAATTGAACTTCAACAAGTAATTGTTTATCATCAAGTTTTTTTAATTCTTTAAGTAATTGAGAACCAAGTATAAGTGCTTCATTATATTTTTTTGTATCATAATACAAAGCCACTAAACGAGCCTGAAAGGAAAATTTTTGGATAAATATTTTTTTGCAAAATAGAAAATATACTTCAAGATCCTGTCGAAGAAATGTTCGGTTTTCATTTTTAGCCCATTCGATATTGTCTTGACATAATGAAACCTATATGAATCGAAATATATTAAAATTTTTAATAGAAATTAAACTTACTTCTTCACCAGTATCTGCTTCCATATCAAGAAATAGATCAACTAATGTTCGAACAAGTTTAGCTGCTTTTGCTTTACTAACAAGACCAAGAAATGGACGAGTAGTTTTTATTAATGTTGCCAAAGCTTTGAAAAAAAAATAATGATTTTAAAATAGAAAATTTAATTTTTCATACGTTTAGCATCTTTAGTTTCTTTAAAAAGTTTTCCAAGTGCGAGGATAGCTGATTCTTTAATACGTATTGATTCTTCATCATCAGATTTAGCTTCTAGTTTAACTAAATAAATAAATGGATTATTTTTACCAAAAAAATAATAAAATCATACCCAATTTTTCTAATAAAGCTCTTGCTGTTTTATAATCTTTTTCTGTTAAAGCATTTTCAGCTTCTTCTAAATCGATTTGTTCCGATGATTTTGGTTTTTCATCTGTCGTTAATTCCGGCATTATTGTGAAAAAAACAGAAGTTATCTAGAAAGAAAAATCTGAATTTTAAATTTCATTCGTTGATAAACATTTATGTTGTCGAATAATTTCATTTATAATAAAACGATTATCATCTAGACAATTCTCTGAATTAAGATAAAATCGAAAACATGTTTGAAGTTCATCAATACGTGTACAAGTGTCAGATATTATTATTTGATTACGAAGAAGTAATTCTAATAATGATAAATAACCCATAGTCATTTCATCTGAACATGAACGATTCGATAATTCTCTGCTTATTATTTCAATAATTAAACGTCGATTGGAATCAGATAAAAACATATTATTGGTAATAACTTGATCATCACATAAATCACCGAAGAATTTTATTATTGAATTTGTTGTTTTATGTTCAGTTGGATCGACTTTTTATGAAAAAAAAAGGGAAAGAATATATTCAATGGTAATAATTTCAGATACTAGATTACTATGGCACACTACTTGACTGAAGCAAAGCTATCTAACTTATTCGAACGTATAACTAATGCTTAAAGCAAATGTAGAGTTGACGAATATCTAAGTTTTCGCGAAAAACTCTTCCTGAAAACTGTCATCATCTGTTTTTGATTGCTCTGATAGATACTCTGGACTGTGCCGAGCAAGGGCAAATCAGCGGACTTCATGAGACTTCATGCATGAAGTCTCTGTTGTATTCCCCTTGGTGCTGAGTCGGCTGGTGATGCTCAAGAAAAAAAGTACATAGTTACAAGCTACAATTTGGAGCTCCCTTAACTTGATCCTCAAGAATTTTAGTTATTGTATGATATACGATTTTATATTGGCTTACTATTTCGATTAAATAATAAAATTAATCTTTCGATTAATTCTTGACATGATATTTCTCCATTAATATCTACTAATGTTAAAATAATAGGATTTTCATGTGGATAATCAAAACGTAAATTAAATGATAATAAAAATCTGATCAATATTGTAATTAATTCATTCTCGTCACGATGATTTTCAATTAATTCGAATATACATCTTAAAAATGTAGGATTGGATAATTGACCTATAAAATAAAAGTAAAATTATATAAAATAATAAAATATTGTATACTTTTCGTCTGTACTGGAAATATTTCACCGGTTAAAAGAAGTTTTGTAAGAAGATTTATAGCAGATATCATTGTTGATTTCATATTGTTACCTAAAAAAAAAAGTTATTTATTTTTATAGTCAATGAAAAAGATTTGCATGTATTTTCTTAGCATCTCAAGCTAGCTAAAGTTATGGAAACAATTTTTTATACAGCAGCTACATACGCAAGCATTTAACCACCTTTTGAATAAATGTTTGTTTGAATAATACGAATACAATTCGAAGCAATTGGATGATCGATTACATTTGATATCGCAAACGTTGGATCAATTTGACATAAAAGATATACAATATCACAAAGAATACCATGAATTTCATCTCCAACATTCTAATTAAAATAGATTTTAAAAAAAAGCCTATCATTTTAATGACTATTACAAACCATTCCAGTTAAATTCATAAGATCAATTAAATACAATCGTATATCTTGTTGTTGAATTAATTTCGCAAGTAAAAAACAATGAAGATCAACATGAGATTTCTTGAAAAAACAAAAAAAACTAGATTTTAATCAATAAATAATTTTACATCTTACTAATAAATCTCGTAATTGATCAATTGAATTCGTAAGTGTATTTCTATCACGTCCTAATGTATAATTTCGTTCTTCACAATCATTTGAACATAAACTAATTGTTTGAATTAATTGTCGAAATTGTTGAAGATCAGGATGATCAATATTTTGATCAAAACGCTAGAGAAAAAAAATAAGTTTTAACATAAACCCTGTTTATTTTTACTTCAATAGCTTCGTTTAAGTCATTCCATTGATTATCTTTATATTGAATCTGTGATAAATAAGAAAATATTTTCGATGAAACTTTCGAACAAATAATATAATTTGATTGTGTTGTTGAATGAATTAAAGAAATAATATCCGAAACAATTTCATCAGTATTCATTGTTTAGAAAATATTCTACTATACGATATGTTTTTTTTCTTCTTTTTATTTAATTCGAAGCGAAAAAAAAATTTCATTGGTTAAAAAATTTCATCAATGAAATTCTTTGTTTGCTTGTTTATTCAGTAGTCAGTCTGTGTCTGTCTATCAACATTTCGCTCGTTCGTTCGCCGCTCGTTCGTGTTACGTCTATCGTAAACATTTGCACCTTATCAATATGGTTGTTCATGATCGTATGTTGTTGAAAAAATTGTTATTAATATAGTTCGCCATTTTTTTCCTATTTAGGTGATATTAATCGTTTTGCTGATCGTAGCCGAGAGCTTTGGTCTGAACGGACAGTGTCCGATATGAGATATAAAGAAAATGGTTTGTTACTAAAAATTATTTGACTTGTCATTTTTAATGTTAAATAGAGAATTCTCTAGGTTTTCTTCGTTGTTGTGGAAGTTGTCCATTTGCATCATTATTAGCATTTATTTTAACATTAACTGGCACAGGAATCTTTTGTGGGTGTCTTTATTATCCAATACGAGCGTCTATTGAACAAATCAATAATGTTTTTCAATTTGAATATATCGATTATGAATGGTATGAATAAAAATGAATTTAATATTCTTTGTAATAGTCTTTTGAATTATTTATCAAGGGTTCGTATATTACGATTAGCAGTTATATTTATTATGGCAATTATGGGTGGTTTTGCATTGATTTTACTTACTGTTGGATCATTAGCTACAGGTGCAACTCGTCATCAAGTTTATACAGGATTTCGTTCTCGACTTGGTGGTCGGATTGTAACAGGATTTGTAAGTAATCAAAAATATTTAATTTTTTTTTTGAGTTAATTGATTGAGTACGATTTGTCAATTCGTCACGTCTACCATTTTGTATAGTAAATATAATACGCGTATTGATTATATAAATTGAATCAATAGAAATGAAAAATTCTCATACATAATGAAGAATGTATTGGACTTGATGACGTGTAATTTATTATTCTCTGTTTTTTTTTCTAGTTTACATTTATTGTCTATATGATTCTGCTTGTTTGGTTAATTGTAATGATCAGCATGGTAATACCATGTATAGGTTTATATATTTTAAAATATCGTTGTCATGAAGCATGGGCAACACCAACAGCATCTAGTTGGCCTAATACAGCTTCGCCAGTTGCTTGTCTAACACCAGGCACTTATGGCATTCCTGTACCTAAACAAAAACCTGATCTAAAAGTTTGTCAAGAAAGATTTAATGAATTATGTACATTGGTAAAAATAATACGCATAAAAATTTCAAAAAAAATAATTCGAATTATATTCTTATTTAGACGGAACATACACCACGATTTTGGGCAGGTTTAGTTGGTGCAATTTTTGTTGTGATGGGTTTGGTAAGAAATTGTTTTGATATAGAAATTAATGATTGATATTTTCTGAATTTTAGATTCATTTTCTTTGTTGTCTTGTGGCTAATTATGCTCATATAAAAGATGGTCGAAAGCTACGTGATTATGAAGAAGCTATTCGTGAAGAGATTGAAATCTCGAAACTTAATCAATAAGCAGATTACTTTTTACATATGTATATTTGGGTACAATATATTCTCGTTTGTCTATTTCCATATTTAATCATATTCTCAACTAATTACTCAGATATTCGTTTTGTCAGATGCATTTGTCTATTGTCTTCTGTAACTTTTGTATAATCATTTTTTTTTCTATTAACTCTATGCTTCTATTCGTTTGAAATAAGTGCCTTTTACACTTGCCTTGTCTATACATATAATTCTTTTTGTTTTTATTGAATGAACGAATAAATAAATAAATAATTTGTGTTTCGCTTTTATGAATATTCTATATAATCTTACTATGTATCTGTATTGTTAAAGCAGAATCTAACATAAAAACTGCAAGAATATTATTACAACCTTATCATTAGCGGTAAGAGATGGATTTCCAGTGAAAAGTTTACCTGTAGGCGAAGAGGCCACTAGTCGACAGTCTTAAAAAGGTTTACTTTAATTTTTTGATTTGTAATAGATAACAATGATGAGAAAAACACATTTTAAAAAAAGACGAATAAATATCTTATTTGACAAGTAAATTGAGAGAGATAAAGTATTATCTTTACTATTAAATTTAGCTCACGATGTCTGTTGATGTTTCGGATCTATTACCAGTACTTGAACCTGAATATGAGCCAACTGTACGTTTACTTTGAATTAGATTGTATACTAATATTTCTCCTACTATTTTTTAGTTAATTCCTGCAGGTCAATCATCAGGAAGAAACTATTACAAGAATGGTATTACGATGATTGTTTTATTTCTTATCAATTTATTAAATTATACGGATCGATTTGCCATCGCAGGTGTGTTAAAAGAAGTTGAAATTAGTTTTAAAATTTCGCCTGACAAAAGTGGTCTTCTTCAAACAGTATTCGTTTGTAGTTACATGGCTTTAGCACCTGTCTTTGGTTATTTAGGGTAAATTGAAAGAAGGTCATATCAATTCTTTTTTTAAATATCTGTTATAGAGATCGATATAGTCGAAAATGGATCATTATCGTAGGTGTCACTTTTTGGTCGTTAACTACTTTAGCTGGATCATTTGTACCAGATAATGTAATTATATATTATAAATATAGTTTTTAATGGTCTCGTCTTTTTGTTAGCTATTTACAGTATTTCTAGTTTTACGAGGCTTAGTCGGTGTTGGTGAAGCTTCATATATATGTGTTGCACCAACAATTATTGCAGATATGTATAAACATGATATGAGAACACTTATGTTAGCTGTTTTTAATATTGCTATTCCATTAGGCAGGTAAACAGTAAAGTTTTTTCATGAAAAATCTATATACATATATATATTAAATATGAATCTAGTGGTCTTGGTTATATTGTTGGATCATTCACTACAAAAGCATTTCATGGCGACTGGCGTTGGGCTTTAAGAGTAAAATATTTATTGAATTATATTAGTTATGATAGAGTTTGCTATATTTAGGTAACGCCTTGCCTTGGTGCTATTTGTATCATATTACTCATTATTCTCGTTACAGAACCAGTACGAGGTAGTTCCGATGGAGTTCAAATGTTAAAACGTAATAATTGGTTTTCTGATGTTCGACATATCTTAAAGAAGTTTGTTAGAAATAAACCTAATTTAGTAAATTTTATTTATTTATTTTTCGTTTATTAGTAAAAGCTTTCTTTTAACAACATTTGCATTTACATGGGTAGCATTTGCATTAGGATCACTTTCCTGGTGGGGTCCAAAATTTCTTCAATTAGCTGAAAATAATAAAGAAACTGAAGCCAAGTAAAGAAATATTTCATTATAGTATATTACAATTTATTAATGTTTGTGTTCAGTGTTAGTCTTCGTTTTGGTATAGTTGCTTGTATTGCTGGAATTTTAGGTGTAATTCTCGGAAGTGGAATTGCTAAACTGTACGTTTAGTCAGAGTTTTAGTTTTGATATTCAGAATATTTATATTTTAGTTTGCGTCAACGAACTGCTCGTGCTGATCCAATTGTTTGTGGTGTTGCTGTTCTTCTAGCTTTGCCATTTTTAGTTGCATTGCTGATATTATCTAAAACTAACCGATTCGTAACATGGTTTGGTGTTCTCATTAGCGAAACATTATTTTGTAGTAATTGGGCGTTAACATCAGATATGCTTATGGTTAAAATCTTTAATTTAATCTTAACTATGAACTTTAGTTTTTTATCTTTAATAGTACATTGTAATTCCATCAAGACGTGCTACAGCAAGTGCTATTCAAATATTCATAATGCATCTATTGGTTTGTTATGAAAATAACTTCTTTTTTTGAAATTCCATTGTATTTAACATAATAGGGTGACGCATCTAGTCCATATATCGTTGGTGTTATAGCTAATTATTTCCAAAAAGGTTCTGAAGATAATTATGTTCAATGGAGTTCTTTACGTAATGCCTTATTGTTAACTCCAATGGTTGCTATTGTAGGTGGTATATGTTTTTTAATTGCTGCAATTTTTATTGTTCAAGATCGTCGTGAAGCAGAAATTGGTATCGAATGTAAATATCCGTTATTAGCTGTATATATACATATATAACTCTTCTATACTTTTTATAGATATGAACTCTGGAGATACTTTTCGAATGGATGAATCAAGTAAACATTAAGAATGTACATCTTATTCGTTTATAAAGTTAATTCTTTTTATCAATGCATTTCCACTACTTATTAAACTTTTATTTTTTGTTAACTGTGATTTTTTCTCTTGAAATATAAATGATATTTTACGAATAGTTTTGCGAGAACTTATTTGACGTAATAGATAGATAAGATAAAAATATGCGTATCATCTAATAACATACTGATAATAAAATATACCTTGATAAGGATATGTGTTGTTACGGACTAGAAACAAAAGAATTATTAAATCGTTTAGTTAAAATTCCATGAGAAAAGCTTTTATTATGAGAATAAAAAAAGAGAGAAGGCATAATGTAACAAATGAAGACTAGGCCATTTATATTGAAGAAAGAAAAAATCGTTCATTATAAGCTAGGGAGACTCATCTTGAATAAATATATTCTTCAATAGTTATATACACGAAAAAAAAATCCTGAATCTTCTCTTTTAATGATTTGCTAATTTGACTTTAATAGGCGATGATCGTGTAAGATCATAGTAGTGAGCATATGGTTGAACTTTTTCATTTTCATATGTATTATCGATGAGAAATTCACGAGAACCAATTGATAAACCATGATGTCCAGGTTTACGACGACAAAGTGAAACGATCATGTCTAAATAACAAATAAACACATTGTTTTTATAAGATTAAAAACAAAAACTTACATGAGAGAATAATTGATGATAAAAGAAAAATACTGAGAAGAACCCAAACGGTCGTTTTTCGTTGTGTATGAAGAAGATTATTCCATTGATCATGAACATTACTAGCATATTGTTGAAAATATCTTGTTGATGTTTCGAGTTTATCTTGATGAATTGTTTTTGTATCATTAAAGAAATTAAAATGAAAATCTTTAGTTAATTGAAAGATTTTTTTAATTTTATCAGAAATTGTCAAATCTTCAGATATTGTTTTTGGTTCATTTGATATTTCAAGTGGATGACGAATAAAACGTATGAAAGTGATTGATTTTGGACGTGAATGAATCTCCTAGATATATAAAATTTATAAATTAAATTATTTTTTTGTTTCTTCTCATCCTACTAAATCATTCATTGAACAACCAACAAGACAACTAGCTTCCATTTGTTCTTCTACTGAATATAATTTACATTGATCAGCACAATTTTCATTTTGTATTTTAAAATCACAACCTGCTTGACAAGCAGAAATAGCCAAGAAACTAGTAGCATAGTTTGCACGACAACCTGAATAACAATTACGTTCAGCTTGAAATAAATTTTCAAGTAAACCAAATGAAGGTGTTGAAATAAGAAATAAAGTAAATATAATAAGTTTCAACATGATTAGAAGTATAAGTATTATCTAGTTAAATATAACAAAGAAAAAATCTTATATAGATATATGTATGTGTACAATGGAAAAGTATAGAATAAGTATTAGTGAATTAACTGTCTATTATATTGTTTTTATTCGGACATTGTTTTCGATTGACCTATCGAAAGATACATATAGTTTAAATAATATAATTTAATAGATTTATCACTATGATACCTTTTGAAGAATAGAAGATAGATGGAGTTAACAATGGGTACAAATTAAATGGTCAGTTTTTTATTCAAAATGATCAGTAAAAGGCGATCAGTAATTAAGGCTGTTTTATCAGTAAAAAAACTGAAACGGTCAGTAGAATAATTAATGGTCAGAGACTTTTGCATTTGATCAGTAGTTTAATCATTTTATCAGTAAAATAATGAATTGATCAGTATTTAAACTAAAATGTCAGTAGTTAATTATGTTTGATTAGTGAATCATCGCATTTGTATCAGTTTTTACCATTCTGTATATATATTTACTGATCGTAATTACTAACATTCGACATTATTTACTGCTCAAAAATTATATATACTGATCACTTTGTAACAAAACAACTGATAATTCGGTATAAAAAACTGATCATTTAAATACTATCCGTTAACAATTGATCTTTTATATGATAAGCTAGTCAATACTATTTTGCTAAGACGTTAATTTATTAGATTTTATGTTGTACTTCAATCTTTTATGATGAATTTAAAGGTGATGAGTAGTTTATTGGATTTTTCTGATAAACATATACATATGAAAACAATATATGTCAAAAAAAGATTTATGCCGTCATAAACAAGATAAAGATCCTTATTTTGATATATATAAATACTGTAATAATTTCAGTGTAATCCTTTTATATCGTCTTACACATAAAATATGTTTGTCTTTGTCTTATTTTTTTATTATCTTGAAATTTGTCAAGGTTTACAACGTCCACTTGTTATTGGACATCGTGGCGTAGCTTATTTACCTGAACTTACATTAGCTTCACAATCAATGGCACATGCATATGGAGCTGATATTATTGAAATTGATGTTTGTCTTAGTCGAGATGATCAATTAATTATTATTCATGGTAAATAATATTAGATTTATTTTAATATTATACTTATAATTTATAAATAGATACTTATTTGGATGGCGTAACGAATGTAAAAGATGTATTTCCCAATCGAAATCGTACAAATGGTCGTAATTATGTGATTGATTTTACTCTTGAAGAATTACGTATTTTAACTGTTCGTGAACGAGTAAATCCATCAACTAATGTACAAGTTTATCCATTACGTTTTCCTTCAAAATCTATTGTACCATTTCGTCTTTCGACATTAAATGAAACAATTGAATTATTACTTGGTCTTAATCATGCAACAGGTCGACAACGACAATTACTTATTGAAATAAAACAACCTGAATATCATGTTCTATACAATAAATCAATATCAAAAATTGTAATCGAAACATTAAATGCTTATAATTTAACTCGATCAACTGATCCAATTATTATTCAAACATTTAATATTGAAGAACTAATGCATATCCGTTATAATCTGCATAGTCAATTACGTTTATTTGCATTAATGACAGTATATCAAGCTGGAGTATCAGTAAGTGATTATGATTTTTATCGAAGTGAAGAGGGAATTCGAAATCTATCAAATACTGTTCAAGCATTAGCACCTGATCATGTGTTAGTTGTTGATTATGATATAAATGGTGAAATTATGGGTACAAGTAATCTGACAAAATGGGCACATCAATATAATCTTAATGTTTATCCATATACATTTCGAAAAGATCTATTTCCTGGTTCGAGTTTTGAGAAACTTGTGGAATATTTTTGGCATATAGCACAAGTTGATGGTTTTATAACTGATCATCCAGATGTAATCCTTCAATTATTACAAAACGATACAACAGTCAATACAACATTCAGTACAACATTGACTACAACATTCAATACAACATCTAGTACAACATTGACTACAACATTCAATACAACATTGACTACAACATCCAGTACAACATTCAGTACAACATCCAGTACAACATTGAGTACAACAATCAATACATTCAATACAACACTCAATAGGTCATCTGCTAATTTCTTACATTTATTTTTATTAATCATTACATTTTTATTCACTAGTATAAAAAGATCAGAACTATATTTTTAACTTCTTTTGTTTTTATAATAATAAATAATGTTTGACCACAGTGGTTGGAATAAACAAGGAAAAATTTTTTCGGTAATGGATAAATTTATTATTAAATAGAAGAGAATCGGATCACTGGTAACTCAAAGATTAAGTTAAACGTACTTTACATATTTCGATTTACAAAAATAACTGATGTGAATTAACCATTCTCTATGTCTACTGCACCGGAGTTACGTATACATTCATTATTGTATAGAAAATCTCATGATTTAGTGTTACTTCTGTGTTTACAAACAAAAAAAAGAAAACAAAATAAACTCATAGTGTAAAGTATAATTTTTTGAGTTTGCTGTTCAAACAGATTAAGGTTTATGTTGACCAATGTTCAACTCAGCTAGAATGTCGCTTGCAGGTCGATGAGATAAGTTGGGAAAAGAGTTGACTTGTTCTTTCCATTGTAGAAGTCGGGAACGTTGATTTTCTGTTGCTTGTCTTCTTGCTGCTCTATCCGACCATTCTTGATGAAATGCATAGTAACAAACCATAATCATTAGAAATATAACGGTGGCAACTCCACTAATACAATAAATCCAAAGACGAACAATATCAGACGAGCCAGGTGGTGGTCCTACCATTTTTCTTCTAAATTAATATTCGACGACTATAGTGCAATAGAATAAATATCTACAAAACTGATATGACGTTTTTATCCTCGTTTCTCTTCTTTTGCATTCTTTCGCAGATGGGCAGGAAAAACGTGTTAATATTTAGCCACACACGACATGGTTTATAAAAGAAGGGAAAATCCCCGTTTTTATGACAGTTTAAATAGCTAAGCTTATGTTATTGTTAACGAAAGAATCGATCTGACTGTTCGAATATAATATATATACGACAAGAGAGAAAGGGAAAAAACAAGGTATATATATATGAATGACGCAATAATAGTCATAAACTATAAATTTGGCAGAGGATTCAGTTCCTCGAAAAAATTATTTGAATTTCTAGACTATTCGACAAATCTCCCTCCTTCTTCGCACTTCTTAAAATAATCAAGAACTTTGTTAACAGTGATAACTAGTTATTATGTAAAAATTAACGAACATAATCTCAATATTCAATGGGTATAAATGAATGATAAGAAAAAAATGCCAAATGAGGATTATTCTCGCTTTATATTTATCAGAATGTATGTTGATTTTTTTGAAAGAAAAACATTATGCTACCGGCAGTTTTTTTTATCTGACATATCTATTAAAATTATTCTCTCCTCCTCTCTCTCTCTTTTTTCTATGAATATATGCAAGTATTTTGTCAAACGAGAACTGTTGATTAAATTTACTTCTCATATGCTTTGCTTGAGTAAAACTATGAATTTTATTTCATTAGATTGATCAAAGTTCTAAATATTATGAGATATGAATGTTTGTGAACGTGTCATATTCTTTTGTATAGACATTCGTAGAGAAAATAGTCATATTTCGTCATGACTCATATATAACCTTTGTAATTGATGATAAGAGGAGAGGAAGAAACATTATGTATTGATGTATCAAATTACTTATTTCATTCGATGTAATAAAATTACTTCCTTTTATTGTTCTATAAACTGAATAGATGCCAGTAATTAAAAGAAATTCAAATCTTTAGTTATATATAGAGAATGTGAGTGTTTCATATTCAATTATCACCAACACCCACATCCACACCGTCAATCTTTTTTTGCATTTATGTAATTAAAAATATTATTTAAATAATGATAGTTTATTCAAGTTTGTTCGTTCCATTATTGGATGTAATATTGTTTTTCGTTTTTATATTTAAATTATTTTTTTTTGTGCAAAAAACAAAATTCCGATCATTTATTTTTTCTTTCTCTAATGATGAAAAACTATTTATCACATTATTTTCTTGTAGTTTTATGATGTTTTAAATAAAATATTCATTTATTATAATTACTGATGAGATCCTTTAAATAAGACAATGAACTCAAATTGAGATGCAGAATATATTAGAGACGAAAGAAAAAATAATAACTTATCTATGTATGTTTGTTATTTTATAGCAACAGAGAAACTGAAATCACGCGATGAGTAAATGTATTATCGATGTTTCTTTCATCTCTATGAATGTAATGAAAAATAAAAATCGTGAGAATTATAGATATTTGTATTTTAAACATTCACAAAAAAATTATAATTCTTTCTGATTAAATAATAAAAGATTCGAATATCTTTTCCAAATTCAATTACATTTCTACATTATGTCACACTTCTGCTTGCCGTCAACATCAAAGAAGAAAAAATGGACAACTACGTGTACTATGGAGGCATTTCATCTTGTTTTTTTTTATCTCTATATTTCGATTTAAGATACATGATATAAATGACGTGGCCATTCTTGTGCAATTCGTTTCATTAGTCAAATAGTAATAACGAAAAAACGTTTATTTCTATTTATCACATGATTCAATCTGTCAGATAGATTATCAAAAATAAAAACGACCTCAAAAAGTCAAAATCTATATCGATTGATTGATGATCGATATTGTATTAATGTTGATAAGATTGTTTTTTTTTCTATAACGAAAATAGTTATAAAATATGCATACGAAACAAGAATCCCACGTATGTATCGTAATGTTAAAATACAAGAAATCATCGGAGCATATCATTTTATTGCTTCTTCATTTGCTGATACAGTGTATTTGAGTGACAACATAATAAATATAAAGAACGTAAATAAAATATATAGGATGAAATATAAATTACAGTATTTATTGTTAATATTGTTATTTCTATTCATTATTATAACATAGTACTTCGAAGCAAAATGAAATATTCGGTATATAGATAGTAGGTATTATAATTTGAATGTTCTTCTAGTTCTTTTATTCTTTATCTAAAAAATTAATAACTCTATAGGAAAATTAGATATTATTTGTTTAATTAAACGAGTCTTTTCAATTTCGATTTTCTTTGATTAATAAAAATATTTATCAGAATAGGATTTACGAATATCATTGTATTCAAGAACAGTGAATTATATCATGTTAGAATTTTTCTTAAACCATAATGATGTATAAAGTGAGTTTAGTAATATGAAACATGCAGATTGATATTACAATACGCCTTAAACAACAAATGATTGTTTATGTTTGAGAGTAATATTTCTTATGTTGATTTTTGTCAAATTAAATAATATTATTTAGTTAGACAAATTGTATTGTTATATATGAAAATATTTCGCTTCAACGATCGAAAATAAACGAATAGATAATTTTAATTTTTCATTAGCACAATCATAACCAGTAAGTAACACATAATTGATAACCATAAAATACTTATTCTAAATCGTAGCAGTAGAGATATTTTGCTATTAAATTTTTTTCTATGTAAATAATGGTGTTGAGAAATATTTTCAATTTTTTAATTTTACATTTCTAAACAGTTAATTTTTGCTCGTTAATAGATTTTAATCTAATTTGACTTTTAATCCATTACATGATATCTATTTATTTTAGTTCTTTTTTCATTCACTTATATTTGGCTCATCAGCAGGAGTTATCTATCATTTTACAGTAATTTCTATTGATGTGATGTGTTATATTTAAGTTATTTTTCGTTATGTCATGTATTACGATTGTGTACGCATCACTTATTAAAATTCATAGTAACAGATTAACAATTTTTGATCTTATGCAGAAAGTGTATAGTGAAATTATCGCGAAACTGTATGATTTAATTCTCATGGAAGAGACTTGAGAAGAATATTCTTTAAGATAGACAACGATCATATCTTTTTTCTCTCTCCTTTGCTTCTTACTTTTTTGCTATGCACATGTCCATGTGTTTATGAAGATACCTGGGTACATATAACATAATAGATGAAAGAAAGAAGAAAAAAAAGATATAGTTATGACCTTCAGACACTGTTTAAATTCAATACTGAACATTTTTTCATATGCATTTATATAGTTCTTAATGCTCATTTCAATTATTACTCATAGAAATTTCGTTTTATTCTTTTTTTTTTTAATATTTTTCCTATTCATTTCCCACAGACATCATCTCTTAATGTTAAACAGTAAAATAAAGCGAGAAACGTCTTTTTTTCGATTGAGATTTGATTATATTATATTATAGTATCGTAAAATTTAAATTTTCTTCAACTAACAATTTTCTTAACTATTCACAGTATCAAATCGATTCATCGTGAATAAAAAATATTATTTTGTTAATTATGATTTAGTTTTCTTCTAGAGACGATTACCAATTTCTTAGTTAGACTTCAAAACAAATCATTTCAAACCACCAACCAAATCCAAAAACTACTCCTGAAGAAATTTATCAGTTCATAAACTTTCTCATGTATCTATTCGATCAATTAGTATCCATAAGGTTAGTAACAAAGAGAGAGAGAGAAAGTTGAGGAAAATATCAAGAAACTATATATTCATTTTCTTTGATAGTGCTGTGGTACGTCGATCGAAATATTGGCCTGCAACAGGTGTATGTGAATTTGTGATGTTTACATGTTTTTCAATGGTTGTTAGTATCACGATTGTTTGTTCAACTTCGTATAAAAAACCAAGTATGATCTTTTTTACTTCATATAAGTATAAATGAATTTTCATTACTAAAATATCATAACCTATAAATCTGTGAAATATACTTTTGAATAATTGCTTTGTGACTAAGTTCGATTAATAAGTTTTTGATATTAGTCTATTGAGAATTAATCAAACATCATGTCATTTATGTTATTTAAGATAAAACATGTGAATTAACTTTCGTACGATCAGCAAAATATTTATCGGGCTATGACTCACTTCCACGACAGATTAGTAGTGTGGATATCGATAAAGATGGATATCTGGATATTGTTGTAGCTAATAGTGGTATTGATAATATTGGCATACTTTTTGGTAATGCACTTGGTACATTCGATGATCAAATTACATATTCAACTGGACTTCAATCATATCCTTTTTCCGTTGCTATTGGGAATTTCAATAATGATACTCTATTAGATATTGTTGTTGCTAATTATCGTACTAATAGTATTGGCGTATTTCTTAATGTTGGTAAGAGAAACTTTTCAAGTCCAATCATAACTTCATTAGGTTCTTCTCATCCTATTGCATTAGCTGTTGGATATTTTAATAACGACAATTATTTAGATGTTGTTGTAGTTAATTATGGTACTTCTACGATTGCTCTACTATTAGGCTTTAATAATGGATCTTTTCAAATTGGATTAACCTATAATATGGGTTATGATTCAATTCCATATTCACTTTCTGTTGCTGATCTCAACAATGATACAATGCTAGATGTTGCTGTTGTTAATTATGGTACAAGCAATTTAGTTATACTTTTAGCAAATGGAAATGGATCTTTTATCAGTCAAACATATTCGACTCAAAAAAATTCTCATCCGTCATCAGTTGCAATTGGTGATTTTAATAATGACACGAGATTTGATATTGCGATCACCAATTCTGGTACAAGTAACGTAGGAATCTTTTTAGGATATGGCAATGGATCTTTTACAAGTATGGTATCATATTCGACTGGTGTAAATTCTCAACCAGATTTTATACTTATTAATGATTTTGATAATGATACCAAAGATGATGTCATTGTTACTGATTCGAAAAATAACAATCTGCTCGTAATGAAAGGAAATGGACGTGGGAATTTTTCAATCATAACAACACATTCAACGGGATATAATTCCGATCCAACTTCTATCGTTATTGGTGACTATGATCATGATAATAAATTAGATATTGCTATCAGTAATAATGCTACAAATAATATTCTTATATTAACTAAATACGATGTTTTTCCTACTGCGATGGCTGTATCCTATTCAACTAGTAATGGGTCTAAGCCATTGGGAGTTGCTGTTGGAGATTTAAATAATGATAATTTCTCAGATATTATTGTGACGAATAATGCAAGTAACACTGTTGGTATATTCATGAATCTTGGCAATGGAACTTTTGCAAATCAGATAGAGTTGAATGTTGGAGATTATTCGTCCCCGGATTTTGTTATCGTGATTGATATTAATAATGACAAACAACTTGATATTATAGTAAATGACTATCAGAAGTATGGAGTTCGTATCTTTTTCGGATATGGAAATGGAAGTTTCACTGCTGGTAATTTGATTGTAACTGCTAATACGACTGCTCCTGCCTATATTTCAGTTGCGGATTTGAATGACGATACCATTCTTGACATTATTGTAGCTATCACCAACAGTACTAATATTGGGATATTATTTGGATCTGGAAATGGGAAATTTAAAGATGTAATAACACAACAAATTTCAGCTGATTTTTATCCTGTATCAATCCTTGTAAATGATTTCAATAATGATCATATATTAGATATTGTCGCATCTGACACAAGGAAAGGTGGTATAGCTATATTGATGGGATACGGAAATCAATCCTATGGTATGCCATTGATAATTCCAACCTATGATGATCTTCCTAATTCTTTAGCTGTTGGTGATTTAAATAACGATCATCGATTAGATATCGTCTATGCTAGTAAATCACTTTCAACTATTGGTATTCTTTTGGGAAATGGAAATGGAACCTTCAGCAATATAACCATATATTCTACTGGTGCTGGTACTTGGCCCCAAAATGTTGTTCTTGTCGATTTCAATAACGACACTCAACTTGATATTGCAGTTGCCAATGAGTATGGGTATACTATCAGTATATTCTTTGGACTGGGAAACGGTTCCTTCACACAACAAATCACATTTCCAACTGGATATCATTCTCGATCCCAATTTGTTGCTTTCGCTGATTTTAATAATGACTTGCAACTGGATTTTGTAGCTTCCAACAAAGCTACATACGAGATTCTTGTAAATCTTATATATTTTAAAAGTGATTTTACGTATCAAACGAGTTATTTTACTGGTTCCAGTCCTCATCCATTGTCTGTCGCTATTGGTGACTTTAATAATGACAATCGATCAGACATTGTTGTTGCTAACTCAGACAATGACAATATACAATTACTTTTTGAATATGATCAAGGAACTTTTCTAAATAAACCAATATATTCAACAGGTCTTAGTTCTTCTCCACAATTTGTACTGGTTGCCGATTTTAATAAAGATAAACAAGTAGATATTGCAGTGATCAATAGTCAAAATGGCATTATCGATGTATTTTTGGGATATAGTAATGGAACTTTTGATGAACCCAGTATAATTTCGACTGGTTCTGAGACATTACCAAAATCAATTTCGTCTGGCGATTTTAATCATGATAATTGGACTGATATTGTCGTTGCTAACAGTGGTGTAGATAATATAGGTGCATATCTTGGATTTGATTATCCAACATTTACAAATGACACCATTATTATTCCTGGAAAATCTGCAGTTCCTATATGTATTGCTGTGGGTGACTTCAATAATGATCACAATTGGGATTTGGTAGTCTGTAATGCTCAACTTCAAAGTATTGGTGTATATTTAGGGTATGGAAATGGAACATTTACAGTACCGACATCGTATCCGACTGGTGATACACCAAAATCAATCTCTATTGGTGATCTCAATGGTGATAAGATAAATGATTTAGTCGTCGCTAATCGTGGTGAAAATACGATAAGCATATTCATAGGCTATGAAAATGGAAGTTTTCAGCCTCAAGTACCGTACTCCACGGGCTCCTCATCTAGTCCTACATCAGCAATAATTAGTGATATTAATAATGATAGTAAATTAGATATTGTTGTCGCTAATCGAGATAGCAACAGCATAGGTTTATTCGTTGGATATGGAAATGGTTTATTTCAAAATCAGATATTAAACCTGTTACCGAATGGATCGACACCTCGATGGGTGATTGTTAATGATCTTAATCATGATGATATCTTAGACATAGCCGTCGCTAATTATGGTCTTAATAATATAGGTATATTTTTTGGATATGGGAATGGTAGTTTTAGAGATTTAATAACACTTTCTACTGGAAATATATCTGGACCGGTTTCGATTGCTACAGGAAATATGAACAATGACAAATGGATAGATATTATTGTTGCCAATGTTAATAGTAAAACTGTCGGCCTGTTTTTAGGAAATGGCAATGGCACATTTTTGCCTCAAATCACATATTCAACTGGCTCTCAATCGGATTTGATGTCAGTTTCTGTTGCTGATATAAATAATGACACTTCACTTGATATCATTCTAGTCGATCTTGGTAGTAGTGGTAATGGTAACGTTGGTGTGTTTTATGGATATGGCGGAGGAAAGTTCACATTACATACTACCTATGAAACTGGTTTGAACTTTGATCCATTTTCAATTGTGATTCATGACTTTGATAATGATAATAGATTAGATATGGCTCTTGTATACTCCAATAAGGATAGTATCGGTATGATGCTTCAACGTAGAAGTAAACCGTTCGCTACACCATTTCTGATTCCAACTGGTAAAAATTCTCGTCCGCTGTCAGTTGCTGCTGGTGACCTTAACAATGATAATCATCTCGATTTTACAACAGCTAACTCTGGTACTAACAATATTGGTATATTTTTAGGTGATGGTAATGGGGGTTTTAGCGGACAAATAACTTATTCAACTGGTAATAGTTCTACACCCATTTCTATTGCAGTTGGTCATTTTAACAATGATACCTATCTCGATATTGTTGTTGCTAATGAACAAACAAATAATATTATGATTTTTCAAGGATATGGAAATGGAATTATTACACTACTAACAATATATTCAACTGGAATTAATTCTGTTCCATCTTCAATCTCTATCAAAGAT